AAAAACTGTAGCTCTGCCTGGCCCTAAACTTTCTTTGTTATCAGGCTTCATAAATTAATCCAGATACAGAATTCAGAAAAAAGACAACAGATCAATGAAACAGAATGGAGAGATTATAAGGGAAATCACAAATAGCCTCTACAATTAAAAACAGAATTCGCTGGAGACAGACTCTCTCCCGCTAAAGTGTACTGGGATATCTGGAAATACGCACACAAAAGAAACACAACAGCAGATGAAGTGAGATGAGAGTGGGGAAGGCAGACAGACAGATGTCATCCCCCTTTGCGTTTGCATGTTGTATGTGTACACGTATGCCATGTACATGTTAAAAAATCCTTAGACTGGACACCTTTAGCCAGGCACTCACCTTTAATCCCAGCACTTCAGGGGCAGAGGCAGGTGAATCTCTGTGACTTCAAAGCTAACCTGGTCTACCTGGTGAGTTTCAGGCTAGCCAGGACTATAGAATGAGGCTGTCTCACCACTGTTAGTAAGGGACAGGAAGCAAATTCAAAGGCTTTATCACTTCCCCTCCGCTTCCTCCACATCTGCATTCCCATCTACCAGCGCCTCTGCTACAGAGAGCCAGTGTTTCTCACTGCCTACTGATCTCTGGGGCCCATTCCCCAGTGTCCTGGATTTGTTAGAGTTTTCTTTCCCAGTTCTTGCCCTAAAACCTGTAGTTTTAGACTAAACCCAATGTTGCTATCCCAGGAGTCATGTCTGACCCCACTGATCCCATTGAAGCATTCTCTGAAGTGTTTGTTTGTTTGTTTGTTTGTTAGGGGCATGTGTGTATAGCCTTGAGCTCATTGTCACGGGAAAAGATTTTCAGAACAGAGCATTGTTAGCTTAGGCACCCAAATCAACAATAAGTGGGACCTCATGGAATTGAGAAGCTATTGCAACAGCCAAGAACACCATCATTTGTACAAAGCAACAATGTGAAGAGATTTTTACCAGCTACACATCCGATAGAGGGCAAATATCCAAATGCATAGTTAAAAACAAAACAAGACAGAGCCAAACACCCAACCTATGTATCAAGAAAATAAGCAACCCAATTAAATATTGGGGTACAGATCTAAACAGAGAATTCTCAATAGAGGAAACCCAAATGGCTGAGAAACACTTACAGAAATGTTCAACATCCTTAGTCATCAGGGAAATGCAGATCAGAATTACTCTGAGATTCCATCTCACACCTGTCAGAATGACTTAGATGGCAAGGACGTGGCGAGGGGAACACTCATGTGTTGCTGGTGAGAGTGCAAACTTGCACGGCCGCCGTGGAAAACAGTGTGGTGGCCTCTCAGAAAACTGAGAATTGATCTTCCTCAAGATCCAGCTCTATAACTCTGAGCACATGCCCAGAGGACGCCTTATCCTTCCACAGAGACATTTGCTCAATCGTGTTCTTTGCTCCTCTATTCACAACAGCCAGAAGCTGAAAACAACCTAGCTGTCCCTCAACAGAAGGATGGATAAAGAAAATGTAGAACATTTACACAATGGAGTACTACTCAGACATTAAAAATGACATCATCCAGTGTTGGGTCCCTAGAGGACAGGCCTTTGCACCCCCACTTGATCTGTTTTGCACTCTTGCACTTGGTTGAAAACAGGAACAAAAACAGGAACAACCTGTTGTTTTCAGCAATGTTTCTAAGGATGTTTACCCCTAAGCCATTGAGTTACGGTGATGAGCTTCCTGCTTTTGCTGTCTTGTCCTCCCCTGCTGAGGGCTATATATACTGTGTGAGAAAGTGGAATAAAGGCTTGTCTGCAGAACCTGAAGTTGTGTTGTGTGTTAATCCCGACGTCCCTGGCTCAGAAGAACGACAGTTGCCGTGCTGGCGTGGCAATCCAGTAGCCCACGTTGCCACCAAAGACCACACGGATGCCCAGGGTCTAGGCCACAACCTGAGACCACGCTGGTGTCTGAGGGCTGTAGACACTATGGCCTCCGATTTGCGTGACCAGCACTGTCACCTGGGGCCATGAAGTTATCCGGGCCAGGACTGCTGCCGAGGGCCGTGTCTGGGTCTGTTACCTTGCTGCAGCCAGGGTCGGTGTTAATGTCTGTGCCTCCTGACACAATAGAAGGCTATGCCGATGCCAGGGATCTGGGCTGCTACCTGGGGCCATGTTGCTGTCTGAGGGCCATGATGCCACTGCCACCAGGGTCATGCACGGAGTGGCCTGCACTGTCATCTGGGGCCGCGGAGACATGTTTGGGTCCATGGTCCTGCTGCATCTGAGTCTATGTTGATATCCATGGTCCATGTTACCATAAGGGATCATAGGAAGCGTGTTGAAGTCCGAAGCCTATGCTGAACTATCCCTGCCCTTTACTGGTCTTGGGATAGCTGGCCCTGCCCCTTGCTGAATATTGCAGCAGGATAGTTGGTCCCACCTCTCATGGGAGAGTTGGCTCCCTTTACTCGGGGAAGATGGCCCTACCCGTCACCACAGGCCTGCACCTCACCTGAGCAGCACACTGGAGCTGATCCTGTTGAAGAGGCCTCAGATGAGCCAGCCCTGAGGATGTGTGAGCAGGAGAGCGACCCTACCCACCCTTGTCTGCCATGTGGTGGCATGGGTGAAGGAAAGATGCCCTGCCCTCACTACCTGCAGCAGGTGAGATATCTGGCCCTGGGGTCACAAGAGTGGGTAAACTAGCCCTGCCCCTGCCCAGGGGCAGCCCACAAGGGAGGGGGCCCTGCACTCCATCTGGGCAGCACACTAAAACTGACCCAGAGGGTGTGAGAGAAGGAGAGCTGATTCCGCCCCCACCCCTTATATGTCCCCTACATCAGTTGGGAGAATGACCCATGTACTTCGCTTGGACAAAACAATAGAGCTGGAGAGTGTGGGTGAGCTGAACCCGGGGACCTGAGAGCAGGAAAACTGGTCCTTGCTGCAGGCTCCATGGGGTGAGCTAGCTGAGGCTGTGCTGGAGAGCTTGCCCAGGTAGAGATGACGAGGGAAAGCTGACAGGCTGACCAAGCCAGCAATGTATCACATAGGCCAAGAACCAGGGCTATCAGTGGGCCACCCCAGCATTCACCTCACCTATCAACTGTTGGAGCATGTGAAGGGGATCCAAGGGGGGCCCCAGTGAAAGCCCATTCTTGGTGGTGAAGCAGAAGCCAGAGGTGTCAAAGCAGACTATTTACTCATAGTAATGAATAAAGATGAATGGACTACAGGGTAAACTGTGACTCATTGGACCGTACTACAAATTCTACGATGAGATTCTTCTCTCTCTCTCTCTCTCTCTCTCTCTCTCTCTCTCTCTCTCTCTCTCTCCTTGTTTGGTTTGATTTTGTTTTTTTCTTTTAGATTTTGTTTTGTTTTGGGGTGGTGGGAGTTGCAAGGGCAGAGGGCAGAAATGAGAGGACAGGGAGCTAAGTGGGTTAGGGATGCATGATGTTAAATCTACAGAGAGTCAATACAAGTTAAGAGACACTTTTAAAAAATGACACCATGAAAATTACAGGCAAATAGATGGAACTAGAAAAATTCTCCTGAGTGAGATATCCTAGACCCCAAAGACAAACACAGTGTGTACTCACTTATATGTAGATATTAGCTGTTAAGTCAATGATCACTAAGCCACAATCGATAGGACAACAGGTGGTAGGTGTAGAATATGGGACTAGAGGGGACAGAGAGAGCTCATTGGGAACCAGAAATAGATTAGATAGATAGATAGATAGATAGATAGATAGATAGATAGATAGATAGATAGATGGATAGACAGATAGATGGATGGATGGATGGATGGATAGATAGATAATGGAACATACTACAGTAGAAACTTTCTAAGATTTATACATAAATGAGGGTGATTTAAATAAAATTGTCAAATACTGGGGGTGGGGGAACAGAACCCCAACTGGCCAGTTCTTGTTATGAAGCAAAGCTTCCAGTACCAGGATTGGGTTGCATCTAATTGAGTTGATGGCCCAAAGGGCCCCATGGGAATCCCCAAACAACCCAGGATGTTGCCTTGACTATAGGTTGTCCACAAACTCTTAACAACCATCCAACATGGACAGTTTCTGTTCACAGGTGTTTCCAATACATCCTGTAAGAGGGTGGAAGAGCTGGTGTGGCCTGAATTAACTTGGGATGCATGTGTAACAAGATAATATGTACACTGAGGGAGCTTTTAGGGAGAGACCACTACTTATCCATCTCATGCCTGTGCATAAGGATTATGTCTGCACAGAATGATTGAGTCTGCTATGGTCAAGATCAGATGCAGTATGGGAAGGAGCATGCTCAGTAGCAAAGAGGTTATATAACAATCTGTCAGTCAAGATAAGAGTCACCTACGTAATCAAAATCTTCCTTCTCTTAAATTCCATGAAAGGAAGTGTCCAACAGTAGTTGGAGGTCTTGTGTTCCTTTACATGTGTGGCCCACTGTCACTAGTCTAACGGCTTTCTTTCTTTCTGATCTATACTATTACTTTGCTTTGAATAAAATTTCCTACTGACATCAGAAGCCGGGAAGCTCAAGCCCAGACTCTGGCCACCAGGAACAACTACACAGTTGTGAAGCCAAGCTGGGATGGCGGGAACGAATATGAAGTGACCTAAGGAACAGGCACAGCTTGTGAGTGTGGCCCATTCAGATCCAGGGTACAGAGCCTTAAAAGATGGCCACATGCCGCCTTCTAAGGACCGAATTACCACCTCGGCTTGTGGAATGGAGGGCTTTGTGACGCCGTCTAGTGGCCCAGTTCTGTCCTTTGTGAGGCGGACCTGACAAGGTTCAGTCCTGGGAGATGATAGGCACTAGGATTCTGAATGTCCTAGGACAGGGATGGCTGGTCTCCTCACGCTAATGAGGTTTGGACCATGTTGACTTCTGCCTACTTTCTGTGGGATAGTGACTATCCCTTATATGTCTATATCTACATCTTCATTGTTATCCTACTTATCTGGCAAGTGCAACAGAATTACTGCAGACTGAAGTGGGAACAGAAGAGGAGCTGCTGCCGGGTAGGGAAACCCTGTGACCTAGCGGAGGAGCTTTCAAGTTCCAGTGTCTGTTCACCCTCTACATAAGCCCTCACCAGCACTGTCTGACAATTTGGATAGGATACTTTCAAGTGTGTAATAGATTTCCTCTGTGAGGCTGGAAGCCTTTCCTTACTAGGACGTTCATGAGGCATAAACCAAAATCCTTTCTATTGGTTTGAATAGAGACTACCATTATTCCAGATCTCCCAGTACAGAATTTCCCAGTTAAATCTGTTATGCCATTTATACGTGGAAGGTCTTTTATATAAGAACACATCCTATAATGTGTCTATAATATTACCGCAGTTTCCAGTAGAACGTCACTCAGTAGTTGGGTGGAAAATGGAGTTCAGATCGATTTCCAGGAGAACCAGAAGGATGCAGAGAAGGGGGTGGGGGAGAGGGGCGGAGCATTGCCAAGGGCAGTGTAGGAGAGTTCCAAAACTGCACATAGATAATTGAAAGGAAAAGAAAATGTATATATGACCCTTGTCACATTACAGACATGAAAACAGTTCCAGCTTCACACTGTAATATTTTCTCTTTAAGCGTCACCGAAAAGTCAGGCAGAGGGCTAAAGATGCAGCATCAAGAGGTAAAGTCCCAGCGTCCCCTGCGCCCTGCCCCTGGCAGAGCTCCCCACAGTCCTCTTTCCTGTGACCCCACCCAGGGCCACCGGCTCTAACTTCTGAGCCTCCAGAGCCACTAACTGGTGACATTAAAAACTGCCCTAGATGGGGAATCAGAAAGTAAAGCTGAAACTCCTCTGCCTTACTCCCCTGACAAAGAACCGAGGAATTAAGATGTCTTTAGCAGTCATTGACGAGAATTTGTTTCACCTGTAAGGTTAGCAATAAAATAAGCGTAACATTAATTTTTCCTCCGGGGGAACATATACTGTAAATGGTGATGCTATAGCCAAATACCCCATAGAACACTGAGTCTAGGTGCACAGATTCCTCTTGCTGAGCTAAAGGCTGACTATTCAGATTCTGGTAAAACACCCTAAAATGCCCATTCACCATCTAACACTGTGTCCGGATTCCTCAGCCAGGAGACTTTCCCGAGAAGAAGCTGAGAAGCCGTGGGAGCTGCTGTCTATCATGAAAAGGTGACCTCTTGACCTTTGTGGACTCTGAGCTGTAATAATTTTTTTGCCTGCTCTGGGCTGGTGTGAAAAGGGGGTAACTGTTTCCATCCCACCTACCCCCAGTCTGCCCACAAAATCTATCCGATTTCTCCTTCCCAAGGAGATTCATGCACCCCACCCTGAGCCCTCTTTGTTACTTAGCCTCTCTGGATTTGTAGGTTGTAGCACGGCTGTCCTTTAACTAACAGCTAACATCTACTTTTATGTGAATACACGTCATTGTGTCTTTCCGGGTCTGGGTTACCTCACTCAGGATGATTTTTTTTTCTAGTTCCATTCATTCGCTTGCAATTTTCATGCTCTTTTCTGGAAAGGTAAACAGAGGAGGAAAGGAACTGGGGGAGAAGGGAGGTGAGAGGGGGTCTGGGAGGAGCGGAGGGAGGGGAACTTCTGTTAGGATGTGATCTATCAGAGAAGGTAAAAAGGGGATGGGAATAGCAGATGGAAGGAGAAACACACCGAGGAGGCGAGGTCACCAGCTGAGAGGTTGTCAGGGCAGAGATGGTTCACACCTCGGGAGGGAAGACCCACCCGATACCCAGGTCCCTCTGTTAGGGTCTCAGCGGTTCCGCATTTCAGAGCCGCCTTTGCACACTTTGTGAAGGGCATCGCTGGAGCTGCACTCAGACACCAAGTTGTCAAGAGAGTAGATTTAGGACAAAGAGGTCACCCTGTCACCTGCTTCCAGCTGCACCCTTTCAAGGACGAAGCCCGGGGTCTGGCTGGCTGGACCCGATGGTGTGACCTCCTGTCTGTCTGGGACGAGGGAGCAGTTGCTGGGACCCCTTCAGTCCATCATCTTTGCCTCGACTTAATTTCTAGAGGCTGTGAATGATCTCAATGGTTCTCTGGGTACGGCAGCAGGGACATCCCATACTTTGAAGGGTTCCCACGAGGACCTCATCTGCCACAGTGTAGGCTCAGAACTGTGGGCGTGGAGGAAAGGGTACAGCAATCCCCAGACACATTCCTCCATCATGAACGGTGGCTGTTTTCCTCTTCCTAGCCAAAGCTGGCTCCCCAAGGAGGAACATGTGCGGCAGCTCCTGTGTGTAGATCCCTGCTGCCAAATCTGTGATGCTGCAACTCTAGAGATTCGTCAGTTGCTGGAGAGCGAGCAAAGTCAGATCTCCCCTGCTTTTTTGGTACTGCCACGGGGCTCTTCTTGCCTGGAGATGGTGCCCATGTCCAGTGCGTCTTTTGAGCAGAACGTGGAGCTTCATTCCAGACCCTCCACAGACTTTCCACCAGCACCTGTGACCCAAACACTAACGGAACACTTAACACAGTCGACCAGCACAGCCGCAGTTCAACAGCACTGTGCGGATCACCTCCTGTCAGGACAGGGATTTCATCGGGCAGACATGCTCATGGTCTCTGAGGCTGCAGCTTCTTCAAGGCTTAGGGAGCCTGCGGTTTTAGTGAATGCCGAAGAGATGATGCACAGCGAACTAAGCTATAACTACATCCAGGAGATCCAAGACCACCCATCTTTCAACTCACAGACCCCTTTTCAAACCCTGAGCCCAGATAGTATTCACGTCACACATCCGATGACCCTGTCTCCTGTCACCACTGTCCTCCCGCCATCCCACAATCCGGAAGTGGTAAGGCTTCTTGAGCTACATGTGAAAAAATTGATGCATTTCCAAAGGTGGGGGCTCCCCAGACGTGTAGAGGAATCACTAAGGCAACTTATGCCAAACCCCCCAATGTATTTCCAGCTAGAAAATAACCAACCAGTTTCTTTGATCATGAACAATACTCCTCAAGACTATGTTCACGGGTTTGGGAGTCTTTCCCCTGAGACCTGGTGCTCATATAAAGACAACCAACCTACCCAGATCTTTTGGGTTTCTCAGTGGTCTAATGTGGAGCTGGAACAAAAAGCACACTGCGGACAAATCACAAGTCCTGTGGAGAAGTCCTTATCCTCTCCTGACCATGACATTCTCCATGGCATCTGGCTACTGCCCGAGGGACAGGCGAACGACTCCAAGAACAAACTCCCGAAGACATTCCCTCAGTTATTCTGTGGCCTCCCTTCTATACACAGCGAGTCTTTGGCGGCTACCTTCTTAGGCACTCAAGGTCTCTCCAAGGACACACCCGAGCCCTCCTGCAAAGATCCTTACCTCTTGAAAGAGGCCTCGCCCTTCCTCTTGCCACCCCACACGCCACCTCCACCTACGGCAGTCCCTCCCTCTTCCTTGGCTTCCCCAAAAGAGTCTTTGTATGAGCGCCAAGCTCAGATCAACGTGCCGTGTCTGACTCTGGCTGAGTGTAAAGCCTTGGAATGGCACCTTCTACAAAGACAGCTTCAGCTACAGTGGGGCCTGCCAGCTGTCATCCCCGGATCTCCCTATGAGCAGAGCCACATACGGTATAAGCCATGTAATAAAGCAAAGCCCCACAAGACTTTAAAAGCCTCCTGGCCAAGAAAGTCATCCGCAGTCCTCACCAGAGACCTGGCCTTCATCCCAGAGCCTGCACGCAGGCTGCTGGAATTCCACCTCCAGAAGCAGCTCATTCACCTGCGCTGGGGCCTGCCCCAGAGGATCCAACGCTCCATTCACTTGGTCCTCTCCTCTCCTGACCAGAAGCCCCGGTCCTGCAGCAGCGGGGCACTACCCAATGTGAGCATCCTGCAGCCAGGAGACCCAGAGGCCGGGTCTGGTGACACATCTGCAGTTGCAGTGGACAGAGGGTCAGTTCCCACACCTCACTTGTTTGGCCAGGCAAAGGCAATGTTGAAGGCTCACATTGATTCCAAATGTGGACAGATCCACCAGGGCAAGGTCCCTGCCTGTGTCCAAAGCTCCTGGGAATGCAGGATTCCCAGGAGTTTGTCAGTCGGGGCTTCTTTCTCAAACATTCCAGCAAGCCAACACCTGGAGCTACTGGCAGAAAAAAACCCTGACCTACATCACAGAGCTGTTTCTCAGGAACCAGAACCAGCAGCCCTTGACCAGGAAAAAGAGGCCTTATCAGGCACTCTCATTGAACACTGTAAGCGGCCCCAAGCCCTACCTGAGGAAACCATTAAGAAACTGGAGACGACGTTACGACATAAGTATCTGGCCTTCCTGTCAGGCCTGCCTGTGCATTACTGTGTGACCCCCTCTAGAGCAACATCCCCAGCAACTGTTAGCCAGGTGACCTTACCTGAAGACCCATATCGGAGTAGGCTTGAACCTTGTACTCAGGATGAGAACGAGGCTTCTGCGCTCATTGCACGGGATGACAATGAGACTTCTGAGGACATTGCAGAAGAGGTCCAGCCTAAAGTGCAGGTGGCAGGAGAGACAGAGAAGGTGCCTCTAGAGACGCAGACAGAGATCTTGGCGAAACTGAGTTTCCACCTGAAAAAAAAGGTTCTAGAGATAAAGTTGGGAATGCCTATAATAGAAAATGAACTCAAAGAGTCAAATGCAAAGGACCCAGAGAGTGAATACACAGAGGAGCCTGTTGGGACTCTAAGTATCCCAGAAAGCACAGCGCTACCACAACTGCCCAACTCAGGGGACTCTTCTCCGGCCCCAGATGCAAACAGGGTCCACCTTGGAAAACAGCCAGCCTCTGCAGGGCAGGCTGTGTGCCTCAAGCAAAAGCAACCTAGTTCCAAAGCAGCGCCCTATGGTTCTGCCCAGTGGGGCTCCAAGGCCTCACTCCTCAGGAATATGATCAAGGCCCAAGTGAAATTTGTTCAGCTGGAGACCAGTAGGGCAAAACCCAACCTAACCTTTAGCACTGAGCCTCAAAGCCCAGGCAAGAGCAGGTATTCAGCCCATGTCCCCACGCTGACAGAAAAGAGCAACAAGTTAGGGAAACCCAAGGCAGGGGGGGACCTTGAAGAAGGGGATGCAGGTCTTGGGCTTTCCCCAACCGGTGGGGAGACATACCATGATGGAGATGAGGAGTCAGAAAAGAGGCCTCCCCCTGAGACACCCCAAGGCTCCTCAAAGCAGAGGCCTAGCTCTCATCTTGAGGATCCCTATCTGCCCAGCCCCCAGAATCTCTCAGAGTTTGAGTTCCCAGAACCACCTCCAGAAGTCGTTATAGAGATAGATGCTGCACAGGACATGCAAGACAGTCTGACTAAGGTAGATGCCATCCCGGAACCTGCAAGGATTGCCAAGGTCCCCCAGCCTATGGCCTCCAAGACTTCCCAGTGTCTGCCTTTCCCACACCCATCAACTCAGGGAAAACCTTTTAGGGGCCAAACTTGGCAAGACCACATTTCACGGAGACAGGTGATGCCAGCCTCTCCTCACGCTAGCCCCAGCCTTCCAGGGGCTGGCTTGAAAAATAAGATGAAAGCCTTTCTTCACTCTATGAGCCCCAAGATAAAAGACAGAACCCACAAGAAATCCACGGTCTCTACACCCGGGAAAGTATCCAAACCCAGTAAAGAAAATGTTAACAAGGGTCTGCCTCAAGCCAAAAGCCCCACCAAGGAAACTAAGAGAAAGAACTGCAGAGGGCCCAGGGCCCAACCTGCGCCCTCTGAGAAGTCAGTGATCACATCGTTTTCAACTGCTCCCCACATTCTAGACAGTAAGCTTGGACCACGCTCTGGACAGCATAGCTTTGTCTCAGTACCAGGCCAGCCCCGACACTGTCCTCGGCACTGCCCTAGATTGGCTCGTACCACTCAATACAGAAACCCACCCTAGGTCCCAAGGTTTACTTGGAAATGTTCTTCTGCTAATGGTGACCACTCAGGCTCTTCCGCTAGGCTCCCCCTCCTCGGTATCTTTAAAGAGCAGTATTATTGTCATTTCCTTTAATGAACAGGTGGATAAAAAAAAAACACCCAAAATATATTCTGTACCTATAAACAGTCTGTTTCTTCTTTGTCTCTGCCTTTTATTATTAAGGGGGGGGTATGAAGGAAGTGATGACGTCAACCCCATCCAGGAGCGGAGATTTAGCCCCAAGTTCGCATGCTTGTTTTAGAGAAGTACCATTAGTACACCTTTCTTCAAGGACTGGCTTTGAGTTGATCAAAAGCAGCTAGCTAAAATGAAGATGCACAGAGCGTATATGACAAATAGCACGTCTGGGTCTCGGAATCTCCTTGCTCAACCCATTGGTGTTGGGAATGCCTCTAAGGACCCATCCAACAGCCTGCATCAGCCCCTTTGCCTGGTTTGTGTGCTCAGTTGTGTGGCCTAGGTGCCTCCTGGAAGGGGGATCCAGGGAAGGCTCAGACACATACAGAGGGAGTTCTTGTACTTGGGACAAAGCCGCTGTGTTCGTGATGGGCACACAAGGAACAAAAGGTCAGTTTTCTTAACACCAAAAGAAACTGAAGCAGGAGGCTAGCCCAAGGCCAGCACAGGAGGTGGGGACAAGAGTGCGGTCACTGTAGGCTGCTTGTGTGATAAAGGAATGAATGGAGCTTTAGAGTTTCTTGGCGAAGATCCCAGCACTAAGACATTATGTAAGTGTATTTGTGACCATTAAGGCCAACGGCTTGTACCGAGTTCAGCTGCTGTGTCCTGTTGGTATCACACACACCTCTGTCGTTACAGCCCACCCTCTCGTCTGCCAACCTTACTCTTCCAATATACTTTTGTTTTATTATTTCATGCCTATGGGTGTTTTTCCTGCATATGTGATTGTGTGTTACATATGTGTACGAGCCCACAAAGGCCAGAAAAAGGCATCAGATCCTGTAGAAAGCACAGCTAGTAGACTCTGCGCTGGTCAGGAAGTAGGATGTCCACGTGAAATTTGCCTTTTAATTATGCTCAGACGATTCACACAGTTATTACTTACAATATCATATTGCTATAAAGGTTAGACATTTCCCGGTGGGGAGCAAATGGGCAGATCACTCTGCTGCAGGCTTCCACCGGGAGACTTCTCCAGTTAGGATGCTTTCGTTTCGTTTGTGTTTTTCATTTGTCTTTTTTTTTTGGGGGGGGGTTCTCTGTGTAGTGCCAGCTGTTCTAGAACTCACTCTACAGACCAGGCTAGCCTTAAACTCACAGAGATCCACTTACTTCTGCCTCCTTAGTGCTGGCATTAAAGGAATGTGCCACTGCAATTTGGCTTCCACTTGGGTTGCTTTAGGAACTTGGTGGCTCAACCCATGTCCACCATGAAGTCCTCAGCTGTGCCAGGCCAGGAAGATGGCACTTGTGGAGGTTCCAGAAAGGTCCTTGAGAGCTTTCAGTTAGCTGCTGGTGCTCACTGGCAGCATGTGTGAGCTCAGCACACTGAAATGGGTTGTCAAAGCCAGAGCCACACAGAGAGGACAGTCTCCAAGTTATCTCGCAGATGGGCATCAGTGCTAAGACTTGAGATGCTAACGTGGGAGCAAGGCACAGCAATACAATCCTAGGGGATGTTGTAAAAGCTTTGCGCGGTCCAGGTTCACAGGTTAGTCTGGTTCACTAGCACAGCAACGCCACTTTGGGCTTAGGTCCTACCTGAGCTGCCATGGGACAGGCTCCTGTCTTGTATTACTCTAAGTCACAAACTGGTTTTCAAGTTACACAAGATGGTTTCACCTATGTTAACAGATCCTTAGAAGCTGAAATTATAGGAAGTTGAGAGTAGACTGTAGGTGCTACAAACCCTAGTCCTGCTGTCATAGGAAATCTCTTTTAGGTCCCAGCCCCAGGTTTAATTTAAACCGAGACAGGGGACTGCAAGGCTGGCCACTTAGGCAGATGTGAGAATTGCATAGTAAGATACGGTCCTGTGCAAGGCAACACCACTTTAGCTAAATTCTACATAACTTAATATCTCCTAGGTAAATTTATTAGTAAATGCTTTATAACGTCAGTGTTACTACTTCAAGCTTCTCCTACATCATTGGAAGTGATGTGAGAACAGAGGGAAGCAACTGGTCCTTCAAGAATTTATTTCATAGGGGTGTAGGAAAGTCATAGGGAGACGTGGAGACTCCACAGAGGGTGGGTCTGCTTGTTGTCTGTGATCCTGGGAATCAAACCCAGGGTCTCATGGAGGTGTAATTAAGGAGGTCCACGAAAACATGGAATAAAAGATAACAAATGGAATAAAAGATAACAAATGTTTATTTGGGGAACACTCACAATAAGGAAGTCTCTGCTGTTCTCTGCTCTGTGGGCACTGGGAGCTGTGAACAGAATCAAGACCACCAGCCAAGAGAAAGTAAGCACACTTTTCATCTGCACTTACAGTACCTCAGACCATGCCCTAATGGGCAGATACCCAAAAGGCTACTGACTGAATGAATTCCCACAACACTTCCCCCTTTTGCCTAAATAAGAGGGTTCTAAACCTAATGCAAAACTATATACAATAAGAACAAATATCAAGCATTGTCCAGGAAAAAGAAAAGGCAAAGTCACACACACACAAAGCATACAACAGACATGAACATCTTCAAGCAAGAAACACATGCTAAATGTTCAATCTAAGGTAATTAGCAAATAACAGATTATTTCAATAGCTATCCTAGCCTGAGGTATCTAAGTCTTGTATTAAAAATGTCTTAGCTAAGTTATGAGAGGAAAGCTATGACTGTCTAGTCTTCAACCTCATCAAAGACCTGTTAAGGAAAATAATATTATCTGAGTAAGCAGGAGTTGCAAGAAAGCGATTTCCAATAGGTACAAGAAATGACAGAGACTTCTGGCTACCTGGGCAATCACCCAAAATCTCATTTGCAACGTTGGGGCAACCAACCTTGGCTAAAGCCTAGAGTATTTGGCAGACCATTTTCAGAGGCAGGAAAACTCAAAAGGCTGTCCTACCCTGTCTTGGTAAGGTTTGGGAGTCATTTTTGCTTGTATTATGCTTGTTCAGTTTGGGCAGTGTGAATATTGCCAATAGTCAAGGCAAGGGCAGTTCTTTGCCCAAAGATCAGTTTTGCCAAGAAGAAAACAAGCTCCAACTGGAGAGTCTTTGCTGCCCAACATTCATTCTCTCAGGAATAGATAAATGCTGCCAGGAGCAATCATGTCTCACAACAGAATCCTGAGTTATTCCAATGCCATATTCTACAGTTCTTTGAAGTGTTTGAAGATTACCTATTTGTGCAGAATACAATCTCTGTGCATCTAGAGAACCTGACTAGCCTAACTATAAGTATGACAATCATGAATTGTAATTCTTAATACCTATATAGCTTAAAGACTAAGGCTTCACATTATAAAGTTAAACAATCTTTAAACAGATGTGCAACAAATGAGAACAATGACCTCAAAATGTAAATAATATGTATAAGAATCTTGATCAGAGTTAGAAATGTATAGTTCAATATGATGAATATATCTTAAAATTGCGTCAATATACAAAAAACGTAAGCAGAGGTAGAAACACACATGCATACAATTTGACAAAAATAACTTTGCACATGTGCACAAATATTGTAAGCAGAAATAGGAACATACCCAATATAACAAATATAATTTGAATTTGTATCAATATATAAATTATCTTAGACAGGAATGTGAAAATAGTTGTAAATGTATATTACTATACAAGAATCTATACCAATGTAAATTGTCTTTAATAGTTCACAGTAGATACACTAATCTACACATTATTCCATCACATCCATTCCTCCCTTTTTTTCTTTTCCATAAGAGATCCCTGGGCCTATTTCATTTCCACCCCAACCCTATATAACATATACAATTTATACAACTTACAACCAACCTCTAACGGATAACAATTGTCCCTAACCCTGAGGACAAATTCTGTTGGGAGAGGGGATGTCATTTTCTAGAATTACTTCCAGTTGTCATGGGGGTGATGTTATGTCTATGGGATCCTGTAAAAACTAAAATGATGGTTAGGTCTCAAGATTGTTGTCTGGTACAATTGTAGATAGTCTTTGAGTAGTCAGTAGGCTTTTCTGAAGTTCTTATTTGAAGTTTTGGCCAGAATGTTGTAAGAAGGTGCACCATCTCAGCTAGGAAAGTTAGAATTATCTTGAGCAAGTTGTAGCCCAAAACTGATCTTTGAGTGGTACTATCAGCTCAATGGCATCATATGAACCAGGTGGGATCATTGTTGTGGGGCCCCATCTTCTTTCTGGAGACTTCAGAGAGTACTGTAGATTACTGTGGAAAGTTTAAACATTATTCATGTCAAAACAGAAAGTTTAAATTTTGATAGACATAAATTTAAAGAAAGGTACCATAGAGACAAAAATAGGTATGGGGAGAAGTAGAATTTTTGAAAGTAGAATTTTGATAACCTTAGTCCCTAGCTCAGTCAGTAGAGCATGAGACTCTTAATCTCAGGATCAGGGATTTGGGTCCCACATTGGATGCCAGAGTGTAGGCATAATTAAGGAAATCCACAAGAACCTGGAATAAGAGATAACAAAGGTTTATTTGGGGAACACTCATAATAAGAAAGCTGCTGTCATTCTCTGCTCTGTGGGTGCTGGGAGCTGTGAACAGAATCCAGACCACCAGCCAAGAGAGAGTGAGCAGGCTCTTCATCTGCATCATAGTACCTCCGACCACGCCCTAATGGGCCGGTACCCAAAAGCTGTGACTGAATGACTTCCCACAACAGCCTAGAGTATGCTGGGCAAGTGCTGAAGGTGCTGAGCTCTACCCCAGCACCTCGGTTTTCTTAAGAGACACAGCATATTGAATACAGGCGGGAAAGTGCTGCTCAAGAGCAATAAATTAATAATGCAAGACAGCAAGGGAGGAAGAGCCGTCAGGTCCAAGTGCTGCTTTGGAGGAGGGAGAGCTTTGCTGCTGTAGGGTGGCTCTGAAATGGCTCAGAAGGACCGCATGCTGCAAACACTGTTGCCAGGCTGAGGTGCTGTGGTGAGCGACCCTGACTGTCAATTTGGTGGCGTTTAGAATTGCAATGAAAACA